AAAACTTTAAAACAAGTGCCCTCATCTCTGTGTGCATTGTTCACTTCAGTTGACATTTTTTGTCTACGTTCTATTACAGTCATCACAATTGTAATCAATTTTCGTAACATTAGAAATAGTCAGCTAAGCAGTAAAAGGTCACCATGTCTAGCAATCTCGGTGTTGTAAAGGTGATGCGTTAACCTGTGCACTGGGACCTCGTATCAACAGAGTCGAATGCCGTAGTCGTGAAGCCTGCTGATGGGAAGGAAACAGTTGGCCATATTCCGGAAGGTCTGGCTAAAGTTTGGTATATGGTTTTCTCAGGCGGGGCATCGTGGTCAAGTTTGAATGCAAAGTCACAGGAGAACCCCGACCTGCTCCAGGCGATATGTGGCAATTGGGAGGGGACAAAGTGATCCCGTGAAAATATTAATTGATCGAGTAATTGACAGTGGAAGAGAGAGTGAAAGTTTCACTTCCAACTTTACCGATATGTCGCAGACTTTCAATCTTTTTGGCTTAGTGCCTCAGGGCTGCCAGATCTTTTTAAAACAAATACCGTTACTGCAATGCTTTTCTGTCAATAATTTGTTTTGATCAGGTCTTAGATGTGTAAATTATATACTTAAGATATTTAGACAAGTTTGTTTTAACGTAATCCATTGACACTGTAAACATGCTTTAGATAACACATCCGGAAGGGCGTACGTGCCACAAATATTTTTGGGTTAAATGCACTTCTATTGGAGATGTGCTTCTAATGGAGCAAATACAGTAGGTACGTCTATGGTCAAACTATTACAGTATATAGTTTATTGAGTAAATACAGCCTTGTGTTTACGATATTTATGAATCAGCTTTACATTGGGAAATTTTTGAACAAAAGCCTCTCCCCGTGTAGATGTATACCCTTGTCCTTCACTCTATTTATCACCAACACCGCAATGACTCTGTTCCAGTTCTGTCATTATACTTACGTTTTTGGAAACAAAGGAACGTAGACATCGTCGTCCAGCGTTTTTCTCATTCTGTTGACTATTGCTCTTAATAAAATCTGAAGAATAAAAACAAATCATGGTCAGAATGAATTCAGTACAAATGTACAAACAGAGGGGAATACATTATGCTTTCAAGTGATTACTTCTCTGGATAGCTTATCATAGACAAAACAAACTTAATAAGAATCATAGTTTTTAGAAACAAAAAAATGTAGACAATGTGGGTGGCATTTTTGCATTATATCAATTACTGTAAATCGTTTATTTTCTATGCTAGGAATTTTCACAATTCAAGGATTTTATGGCATTTGCGAAGAAAATTTTTTATGAAAATCACTGACATTCTGTGTCATTTTGTGAAAATTTAAAACACTAAATAGTACAATTGGTCCTGGCATGTCTAAGATATAGGTCTGTATGCAAGCATGCACAAATGCATACACAGGGGTCTAAATATTATAATCGGCCCAGGCACACAAGCACGCACAAATGCATGCACAGAGGTCTAAATATTATAATCAGCCCAGGCACACAAGCACACACAAATGCACGCACAGAGGTCTAAATATTATAATCGGTCCAGACATGTCTAAGATATAGGTCTGTATGCAAGCACGCACAGAGGTCAATCCATATTTCCCCGTTTTTGGACTGCATTCGAACAGAGACTAAAAAGACATTCCTTCTACTCAGCCATTGATGGTCTTTCTCTTTATGTAGGCTCTGAAGTTTTGAATCATTTTGCCATCTACGGTTGGAGACATCCCAATACACCTGAATAAACCATGTATAGTACGGTAACAATATCGAGAATTAAGCATGTTCTCACCTGTGTTTGTTTGTTTTCAGCAGAGACTGGGGGAAAGTCATCAGCTATGCGATGAAAAAATTCAACTAATTTCTGTGATTGTGTGGATGACATAGGATCCCATACATGCTCTGCTAAGACTGTGAAAGAAACAACATACGAGAAATATTCATATTTGGAAATTTTCAATGAAATATTTTTTTTTGTAATAGTTTATTTTACAGTAGTCAGTAAATCTCACAGGAGATGTGATCTTCATAGATCAAGTTACTAGGATGTACAACCTTCACTAGCTTATAAAAGTACCAGGATGTGTGACTTTCATGGGCAAGTTACCAGGATGTACAACCTTCACTGGCTTATAAAAGTACCAGGATGTGTGACCTTCATGGGCAAGTTACCAGGATGTACAACCTTCACTGGCTTATAAAAGTACCAGGATGTGTGACCTTCATGGGCAAGTTACCAGGATGTACAACCTTCACTGGCTTATAAAAGTACCAGGATGTGTGACCTTCATGGGCAAGTTACCAGGATGTACAACCTTCACTGGCTTATAAAAGTACCAGGATGTGTGACCTTCATGGGCAAGTTACCAGGATGTACAACCTTCACTGGCTTATAAAAGTACCAGGATGTGTGACCTTCATGGGTGAAAAGTTACCAGGATGTACAACCTTCACTGGCTTATAAAAGTACCAGGATGTACAACCTTCATGGGTGAAAAGTACCAGAATGAACAACACATCACAGGTCATGATTCTAAAACTTTCACAATTCCATGTCTTGGCTTGAAATATAAATCATTTACTCAATTAAACAGTATGATGAAAAATCACTATTTTCAACGACGCATACCGTACAT